GAGTTTCTGGTCAAGGGGCTGGGGTGGGGGACGTGGAGAATTGTCCCCCTACCCCACAGTGAGGGCTCCCCTACATGCCCAGACATTTTTCCTATCGTTTTTTCCTCCCTGTGGGGCCCAAGGTGTTACCCTTGCCCCTGGTGGGGGTAAGGTGGGGGTGGGGTGGGGTGGGGGGCATGGCGTGGGCTGGGCTGTCTGTCCATCGTTGGGAGAGTGTCTCTCTGATTGTATCTCAGGAGCAAGGAGCAGGTGACCCCTGGAGGCACTGGGAGCAGGAAGCTCCCTGGCTGAACAGCCTGTGCATCTCATGAGGAGGACTCTGGGGCTTTGCTGATGGCCTCTGCCATCAGGGCCAGAGAGAGGCCCTCTCTAGGGACAGACCCCAAAATTAAGGGTCTGAGATGGATCCCCTTGGCAGACTCAGCCACCAAAAGCTGCTTCCCTAATGCCTCAAAGGTGTGAAGGAGTGAGGCCTAGAGGCCAACGCAGGGAGGCAGCACAGGGAGCCTGAGGGAGCCGGAGGCCACCTGGGGGCATGGAGCCTCCAGCAGAGGCAGCAGGGGCCAGGTGGGGAGAGGTGTGGAGGGCAGGTGGACGGGAGAGGCAGGGGCGTCAGAACTTGACATGGGTACTAGGGTTGGAGCCAGGTGTAGAGGAAGCAGTCAGATCGACTCTGGCCAGATTTGGTTCTGACCCCAAGGAAGGCACGCTGTCAGTGAGGGAGGCCCTGGAACCTCGGCCATCATGGGGGCGGGGGGGGGGGGGGGGCCGCTGGTGGCTGCCACAGCTCCCTGGGGCCTCTTCAGCAGGGCAGTGAGTATCACTGACCTTGATAAATGGGAGAGCAGCTGATAAGGAAAATGGGTTTCCTTGGGGTGGCCTGTCCTCCAGCCTGAACCTCTGGGATAAGGCCCCAGGGGTGTTCGTGTTGGCCGGCTGAGTTGCCAGTCCTAACCTTGTTGTTTGGGGAGTCCCGTTAAGAAAGCCCATCTAGGTGGGAGGAAAGCTACCCTTGTGGATTTTTTTATTTGGTCAACTCAGAGCTTCCGTTCTTGAATGGGTCTGAGCCCCACTGCCCCACTCCCAGTGCCTCGTCTGTGCTGGTGGGGAGCGCTGGCCTAGGCTCCCTTCTGGGCCACCACCCTGGAGGTGTGAGTGACAGGGTCAGCTGGCTGGGGGAGGCAGACACATGGGCAGGCAGGTTTCACTGTGGGAGAGATGGACAGAGACAGCTGGTTGGCTGGGGGTTAGGGTTAGACATAATGCCGGGCTGGAGGGAGAGTTGGCAGTTAGAAGGAATTCACCCAGTTTGGGGTCAGGGCTCCTCCTTGTGCCTGGGGGCAGCTGCGCTCCTGGGGGTAAAGTGGTAGTATTTTTATTGTTGTTGATCCTCATCGGAGGATATTTTCTCCATTGATTTTTAGACAGAGTGGAAGGGAGGAAAAGAGACAGAGAGAAACATCGATGTGAGAGAGACACATTGATTGGTTGCCTCCCACACACGCACCAACCTGGGCCAGGATTGAGCCTGCAACTGAGGTACATGCCCTTGACAGGAGTCGAACCCGGGACTCTTCAGTCCCAGGGCTGATGCTCCAACCACTGAGCCAGACCAGCCAGGGCTAAAGTGGTAGTATTTAAATGATCACAGGGCCAAGGGGCTGCATCCCTTGCTCCCTAATCTTCTTCCTGCTCTCCATGTCCCAATCCCCATCCCACCCAGCGTCCACTTTACAGCCCCTCTGGTCCTCCCCAATCTCTCATCTGGAATCTAGACAAGTGGAGTTTAAAGTCTGTGGAACACTTCACTCCGTGTATTTGCATCTCATTTACATCCCGTCTGAGCACCTGGATAGTGTCAAGGGAATACACCTGCCTCATCAATCTCTCCATAGCCCCCTTTGGACCCTGACTTGTGACCTCACTGGGTGGGGTGGGAAGTAGCGGAGGTCTATATGATGAGTCCATCTCTGATGATTCAGGCCTACAGGAAGGAAAGATGATTGTAAGAGGAAATATGCTGCTTTTGACCTACCCAAGCCTCTGGCAGCCCACCTCCGGCTCCTCCCTGCTCCCTTCCTCCACCCCCCCCCCCTCCCCGCATCAAGGAATCATGGAGGGGCTTGACCTCAGCCTCTCAGGTTGCCTCCAGACCCACCTTCAGCCTCACCTTGGGAGCAAATTACGGGGTGGACCGAGTCAGCGAAGCCCCTAGGTGTGGAAGCTTAGAATAGCTGAAGGGGATAGAGGGTGGGGCTGAGGGGTCAGAAGCTGGGCCCAGAGAGAAGAGAGGGTGGAGATGGAGGGAGGGGGGCGAGTGCAGGGCAGGACGGCCCAGGAAGCAGGGAATGAAGGGAAGCGGGCCTGCGGGAGTCCCAGCGGGGAGCTCGGGCCCTGACTTAGGTGCAGCCGACTGGTCACTCGGGCTGCCTGTGCCTGGAGGAGCCGTGTGACCTTGGCGAGGTCACGCCTCTCCTTGAGCCGCGGTTGCCTCATCTGTCAAGTGGGGATGGAAGGACCCTCCGAGTCTGTTTTTCGGAGCAGCATGTGGATGTGCACATCCTTTGAAAAGGTTCAAAGGCGCCATTAATATTCATTTCCGCGGTACCTTCCGCAAATCCGAAGCTGGCGATGCCCCGTGCAGTTGCCTGGCTGCAGTTAGCTTCCTGCAGCGAGACCCGAAGCCCCCTCCGCCAAAGCCGCGCGGTTCCGGCGCCCCTGCCCCTCCCACCCTCGTTCACGCCGCTGCAGCAGGGTCACCAGCCGGGGTTTGGGGTGGGGGAGACGCGGCTCGGGACGCCTGCAGCCGGGCCCTGCTCTGACCGGCGGGCGCCTGTTTCTGCTTCACCCCCGCCACCCCCCTCCCAACCCAGCGCCCCGGGATGCCGTCTGGAGCCCGGATGCCCCACCAGGGGGCGCCCATGGGCCCCCCGGGCTCCCCATACATGGGCAGCCCCGCCGTGCGACCCGGCCTGGCCCCCGCGGGCATGGAGCCCGCCCGCAAGCGAGCAGCGCCTCCACCCGGCCAGAGCCAGGCCCAGAGCCAGGGCCAGCCAGTGCCCACCGCCCCCGCGCGGAGCCGCAGGTGAGTGGGGCCCATCGCGGAGGGGGCGGGCCGCAGGGACGGGTGGGCGAGGAGCGGGATTGGCAGGGGCGAGGAGCATGAGCAGCAAGGGCCGAGGCGTCCCGGGAGGGATGCTACCTGGAGAAGTGGATAAGGGCAGGCCTCTGATACGCTTGCGTGCCTGCATTATTAAAATTGGTGCCGCTAATATTTTCTATCTTGATGGCGCGTGATGGCT